CACGTGTTTTCTAGGCACGCCGTCCCCAGACCCCCGGCGTCATGAGTTTTGTCAGAACGCCAACCCCCAGAGGTCTCGACCCCTCCCTCGGGACCGGATTGTCCTCCTGGGTCGTTTCATTCTGGCGGCCCCGCGGCCCGGCAAAGGGCCCTCCGAGGCCGAGCATAGCGCAAACCTCCCGTCGTGAGTTCCCCATGACTCGAGAGGGCCTGGCGTGCCATCGCCTCCCCACGAGCACGCGCCCAGAGCTGCGCGGAGCACGCGACTCGAGGCGTCCTGGGCTTTCCTCTGGCCTTGTCTTCCGGGGGGGGCCGACGCGTCCGGCGTGCCGGCCGAGCTGGCAGCATGCGGCGCGGGCAAACGGGCTTTTCTGGAGGGCGCGGTGGGCGCGGAGGCGTGATTTGGTGCGCATCTGGCCCAGACCCCTCCCCCTCGCGCAGTGAGAAAGTCGCGGCGGGAGGCTCTTCGCTGCGTTCGGCCTCCAGGGGCCCTCACAAGGGCCTGCTGTTCAGGGTTCTCCCCGCGTGCTTCGCTTGTCCGCCCGCCGAGTGCGCGCCCACCGTTGCAGCGTTGGCCATCAAGGCACGAGGCAGCCATCCAATCGCATGCGTTGCAGCGACGAGCTCAGACTGTATGTTTCCAGGGTGATCGACGGTGCTGCCCATGCTGTCGGAGCATCGGGTAGTATGGCCGACACCCCATCACTCGTGGTAGCGTCCAGGGGCGCGGGGCGGGAGCAGCGGACGGCGTCTCGAGAAGCACCCCGCTTCCCACCCATCGAGGACGGGGGGGAAGCTCGTCGCGGGGCACGGCGCGGAGCTCTCGGGGAGGCCCCGAGCGTCGGGGAGCCTGGGCCGCGCACGGGAGGGGGGAGGGGGAAGGCGTCTCAGAAGCGCACCTGCTTTTCCCGGGGGCGCGGGCCCCGTCTGTAGACACAGGGTCGGCGCCTTCCAAGAAGCACGGGCCCTCCCCCTACAATCAACCCGCATAGTTATAAGGATGGGCAGCCTTCCCAAGGGTACCCTTGCATTCTTGCCTCCGCGGTCCATCCTTCGCCACTTTCGTTGGCCGCACCCCGCTCAAAAAGCTTCGGAATGGGCGTCCAAGGCCCTTGCATCCTGACCGCGCGTCCTTACTGCACGGGTTGGCTGTATCCTCCTGTGCGCGCCGACAAGAGCTGTCAACGGCGACCTGCTGGGGCTCCCCCGGGCGCCCGCAGCAGGGGCGAGCCTCGAGGTCGAAGCCGCTGCCGCCGTGGGCGTGCACCGCCGGCGGCGGCCTGTGGGCCCCCATGCGAGGCCGTGACACCTCCCGCCTCCGTCCCTCCTCCGGCCCTGTCTCTCGCCCCATCCATCCGGCCCTTCCCTCGCTCCGCCCCCCCTCCTCTCACTCCGCTCCCTCGCCTCCCCCCCCCCTCGATGTCCACTGGGACGAATTCGCCCCCCCCCCCCCCCCAAACCTCGCCCTACCCCCGCCCCTCTGCACCGGGAGCCCTGGTAGAAGTGGCGTCAAGCATTCGTGTGGGGCTGGGAGGCCGGGGAGGATTTGCTCAGAGTTGCCCAGCAAGATGTAGCAAGTTTGTTGCACTCTCCAGGGGGGCAAGGGCTTCCCAGCAAAGACGTCAGCTATGTCTCTTTTAAGCGAGTTTGCGGTGGGACAAACTTTCAGCTGAAGCGCAATCCAATCCCTCCCCTCTACCCCCCTCGTCCCTCCTCCCTTCCCTCTTCCCCCCCGCCCCTCCCTGCCCGCCACACGCGGCCCTGCAGGAGCTGGAGCGCTGGCTCGCTGCGACCCGGCTGGTGCACCGGCAGCTGCCGCACCAGCAACCGGAGCAGGCGGCACCCACACTGGTGGTGGGGATGTGCATGTGTGTGTGCGCGTGTCTCACTGCGCGCCCCGCCTGACCCCGCGCAGCAGCACACCAGCAGCCTCCAGTCTTTCTTAGGCTGGTGCCCCACCAGGGGCACCGCCGCCCTCGACCTCCCAGCGCAGGCACCGGACACACCACCCTCGCGCGTTCCAGGAACGCGGAGGTCCCGGGATCGAGAGGCTGCAAGCCCATGGCCCGGCGCGGCACAGGGTCGACCCAGCCCATCCGTCTAGCTGGACCCCGGGAGGAGGAGGAGGAGGAGGAGGAGGAGGAGCAGGAGGAGGAGAAGGAAGAGGAGGAGGAGGAGCAGGAGGAGGAGGAGGAGGAGGGCTGACGCCTGCTCCGCGCGTGTCTCCGCGGCTCGGGCTCGAGCCTGCGCCTCTCTCCCCACCCCGTGCGCGCTGCACCGCGACGGACAGCTACCGCCAATGGGCCCCTGTGGACGCGCCTGGATTCGCTCTGCGCGCTCCGCACCCCGCGCTGCCCTGGCCCGTCTTTGCATCAACAAACCAACAATCATGAAATACATGTTCCCTACCTAGGCTCTGCCTAAAAGGGTTCTTACTCTCTTAGCTTAAAGGGGCCGGGCAGTGCAAAGCGCCCCGGGCGGTTCCCCCAGTCCCCGCCCCGCGGTTCCCCCCAGTCCCCTGGGAGCTTTAGCTTTAGCTTTAGCTTTAGCTTAGCTTTAGCTTAGCTTTAGCTTAGCTTTAGCTTAGCTTGAGCTTAGCTGTAGCTTAGCTTTAGCTTAGCTTTAGCTTAGCTTTAGCTTAGCTTTAGCTTAGCTGTAGCTTAGCGTTAGCTTAGCTGTAGCTTAGCTTTAGCTTAGCTGTTGCTCAGCTTTAGCTTAGCTTTAGCTTAGCTTTAGCTTAGCTTTAGCTTAACTTTAGCTTAGCTGTGGCTTAGCTTTAGCTTAGCTTTAGTTTAGCTTCAGCTTAGCTTTAGCTTAGCGTTCCTGTTACTACTAATGCTGCTTTCCTAGGGGTTCCAACTCCTAGGTAGGGTCGCACTGGGATACTTGTAACATGTTTTTTGACGATCCACACACATGCGTCGTATAATCAGTCATAAAGGTTCTTTTGAGGATGACTCGGGTTTTCCTTATCCCACAGATTGTAGCGGTTACGGCCCAATACAAAGGTGGCAGCGGTGGCACCCTGCTGAGCAGCGGCCGCCGCAGCGCTTGGCGGCCCTGCATCGACTGCGGCCTTCATGCGTGGCTGGAAGCCCCGGCTGACGGGTCTCCAATGTTCGGAAATTGGAGCGTATACATTGCCAGTGGCGGGCGGTTTTTCAATCCCAGGACTGTTTGAGGGTCGGGGACGACGTCGGGGTGGTGTGGTGTACAGTTTGGTCCCCGTTCTCCGGGGGGGGGGAACAAGGAAGAAGGTACACACCAGGATTATACTGTATGCACCAGGATCCGCCTTCCTGTGCGAGATTCAGTGTGAGGCCAGACACAGGCGTCGGTGTATAGAGTTCGGCTCATCACATGTCCACGCTGGCCCTCGCGGGCCCCGCCGCGTGCGCACGCTGCTGCCACTCGGGGATGTGCCACCCGCTGCTGCGGGTGGCCCTGGTCGCGACCCTTTGGGACGCGGCACCTCCAGCCCAGCGACCGCCGCACGGGAGCGCCTCCTCTTATCTCAGGCAGGGCGGCGACCTCGGCGCTGTCCCTCCCAACGAGTCCTAGGCCGCAGTCAGGAGCGGGACAGAGTCAGGAGAGCGGGGGAAAAAAAACAGACACAACATTACTCGTCGACTCCCAGGAACAGATGGGAAACTATTGGAAAGGGGGAGGGGGAGACGAGAATCCAGAATACTTATGGAAACATAGGGGGATCATGGGGTATAGGTGCATTTGCTCGTGTATGTGTGTATGTGTGTATGTGTGTGTGTATATGTGTGTGTGTGTGTGTGCGTGTGCGTGTGCGTGTGCGTGTGCGTGCGCGTGCGCGGGCGCGTGTGCGTGTGCGTGTGCGTGTGCGTGTGCGTGTGCGTGTGCGTGTGCGTGTGCGTGTGCGTGTGCGTGTGCGTGTGCGTGTGCGTGTGCGTGTGCGTGTGCGTGTGCGTGTGCGTGTGCGTGTGCGTGTGCGTGTGCGTGTGCGTGTGCGTGTGCGTGTGCGTGTGCGTGTGCGTGTGCGTGTGTGTGTGTGTGTGTGTGTGTGTGTGTGTGTGTGTGTCTGTGTCTGTGTCTGTGTCTGTGTCTGTGTCTGTGTCTGTGCCTGTGTCTGTGTCTGTGTCTGTGTCTGTGTCTGTGTCTGTGTCTGTGTCTGTGTCTGTGTCTGTGTCTGTGTCTGTGTCTGTGTCTGTGTCTGTGTCTGTGTCTGTGTCTGTGTCTGTGTCTGTGTCAGTGTCTGTGTCTGTGTCTGTGTCTGTGTCTGTGTCTGTGTCTGTGTGCGTGCGGGCGTGCGGGCGTGCGGGCGTGCGTGCGTGCGTGCGTGCGTGCGTGCGTGCGTGCGTGCGTGCGCGCGTGCGTGCGTGCGTGCGTGCGTGCGTGCGTGCGCGCGTGCGTGCGTGCGTGCGTGCGTGCGTGCGTGCGTGCGTGCGTGCGTGCGTGCGTGCGTGCGTGCGTGCGTGCGCGCGTGCGTGCGTGCGTGCGTGCGTGCGTGCGTGTGCTTGGGCCCCTTCTGACAGAGATGGCCTGCTCCCCAGGCTCCGAGCAGTCCCTCGAGGATGGGTACTCGACGGTCCCTGCCTGCAGCCGTCACGCGCGCCACGGCTCCGCGCCGACGGCCTTCGCCGCTCCCCCCGCCGGCCCCTGCGACCGCCGCGCCGAGCACCCCCTGGCAGCGACCACGGCCTGCGCTGCAGCTCCAGGTGCCACGGTTGCTACGCCCAGCGGTCTGCCCCAGAGCACCCACCGCCAGACTGCCTCGGTCACCACAGCCCCAGACCCCCTCGGGGAGTGCGCAAATCAGGACGAACGATCTTTCCTGGTTTTCGGCCTCTGGAGGCCCTCACCGGCCCTCGGGACGAAAAACGACTCAGGATGAAAAACCGTTCCAGGGGAATGGGTCGAGACTGTGAGGGTCGACGTTATGACAAAAGCATGACGTCGGGGGTATGGGACAGCTGCGAGCACGAAATGCTGGCCCTCGGGCCATCGACGGGCTCATCCACCCGCCCGCGCTCCCGAGCCATCCGACGCGTGCCCTCTGGGATGCAGACCCGTCTCCCATACGGGGCCAGGGCCAGACAGCCTGCCCCCGGTCTCCATTTTGCGCGCCTCCGCTGCCGCTGCGGCGGCTTCTCCTCCTCCTCCTCCTTCTCCTCCTCCTCTCGTCTCCTCCTTCCAAAAAAAATCGGGGTGCGCTCGTCTCCTCCTCCTCCTCCTCCTCCTCCTCCTCCTCCTCCTCCTCCTCCTCCTCCTCCTCCTCCTCCTCCTCCTCCTGGGAGGGCCCGCCTCGGCTGCGGCACGTACCTGGCAAGGGTCTGGCAGGTGTAGCTCCCCGCCCGTTTCCATGCCGATCCCCCTGGCCCTGCTTTCACGTTGCATCTTGGTGGCCTCTCCCGTCCTGCAAGTGGCAGTCTTTCCTTGCGCCCCGACGCAGATTCGACCTGGATCCGGTACGGATTCGACACGGATTCGACGCTGATTCGATGTGGATCGCGGCGTGACGGGACAGACGTGGCCGCCCGAAGATGCAACACACGTGCCTTGGGACCTCGTTCAGGATGCCGGCCTGCTCGCGCCGTGCTGCGAGAGCGTCGGGGCTGCAGCACGGATACGTCCCCCCCCGCAGCGCGACGGGCGTAGCCCGCGCTGGGGGGGGGGGGTCGCCCCGTCGGCCCCCAGGGCGCGCGCCCCGACGGTCATCCACGCCCGGCCAGCCCCTGCCGCGCCCCTGGGGCGCCGTCCGAGTCGGGCGTCGAGCCGCCCCAGCCACGCACGGGGACGGAAACCCCCGCCGCTCTGAGCCACCGAGGCCGCCAGACCCTGGGAATGGGCCCCGGAAGCGGCAGGGCCGTTTTTTCGCCGGTTCCGAGAAAGTGTTGGTTTAAAATGGAAACGGCAAAGAAGCGGCGACCGGAAACTGCAGCAAAAACTGATCTAGGATTGGAAACGGAACCAGAGCTGCCAAAACATGGCGACAGAACCGCTAAGAAAAAACGGCGTCGGAACCGGCAAAACAACGGCAAAACGAAACCGGTAAAAAATTACCCTGTCGTTTCCAGGGCCCACTACGCGCGCGCGCCACGTCGCCCCCCCCACCCCGTGTGGACTGACCACGCTGCCCACGTCCGCGCGAGCGCGCCACCCCTGGCAGCAGCGAGGGCTCGGCGCGTTCCAGCTCCACCATGGGGTTCGGAGGTACCGGTGAGACGCCACCCATCAGCCGCGAAGGGTGGTTCAGCCCCGACGAGTTCAACTGGCCCCGTACCACAGACGACCTCTTCGCTCTCGACGGCGGTGAGGGTGCGCACGACGAGGAGCGCCCCCGCGCATGGTCATCGCACCGGTGGGCCCGCACGGGCTCCCTCCCGCAGCTCGGCCAGACCAGGTGATCGAGGGCGCCTTCCTCGCGGCGCACGGGGAATGGCGTCGCTCCTCGCCGTCCGCCACGCCCCTGGGAGTGAGGTGCTGTCCCTCCCCTTTTCCGCCCTGGCCCCCGGTCGCCAGCTGCCTCGGGCGCGAATCTGCCCGCCCCTTGCGCTGACCGCCGCCGTTGCGCCCCCGCGCCTCTCTCGCGTGCCGCCGCCTCACCCCAGCGGCCCGCCGCCCCTACTCCCTCGCTCTGCCGCCACTCACCCGCCAGCGCGCGCTCTTCGCGCGGCTTCGTTTTACGCGCTCCACCCGGCTGGGTCCCCTGGGACGACCCTCAGCGGCGGACGCTGCTCCTGGGTCCTTGCCGCGTCTTCGGCGCGCCTCTGCCTCCCGACTCCGCCACGCCCCGTCCCCTGCCCGTCCCCGCGCTGCCTCGGGCGTGGATCTGCCCGCCCCTGTCGCTGAGGTCACTGGTCTCGGGCTCATGAAGGCCCAGCCTCCTCCTCCTCCTCCTCCTCCTCCTCCTCCTCCTCCTCCTTCTCCTCCTCTTGCTCCTCCTCCTCCTCCTCCTCCTCCTCCTCCTCCTCCTCCTCCTCCTCCTCCTCCTCCTCCTCCTCCTCCTCCCTCCTCCCCCTCGCTCGCGGCCCGTCGGACGCGGACGCGCTGCGGTTCGTTGGCGTGGCCCCCCTTACCGGACTGCGCGGGCGCGTTCTTTGAATCGCTGCCTTGTCGGTTCCGATCCCAGGGTTTGGACGGCGACTTCGGCCTGCCTGGCCGCGTTGCTCCCAGACCGTGAGGTGGCTCGCGATGGCACTACGTTGTGGTCTTGCCCCACTCGCCGCCCCGCTCCTCTCCCCGCACCGGCCCGGTGTACCCGCCCGCCGGTCGGTGCGTCGCCCCAGGCCGCCTTTCGCCTGGCGCACGCGGCGACGTCGGCCTGAGCGGCCGCGTCGCTCTCCGTCGGAGAGGAGGCGCACGGCGGCACCACGTGGCGGTCTTGCCCCACTCGTTGCCCCGCCCCTCTCCTCGGCCCGGCCCGCCATCCCCGCCCGCCGGTCGGCGCGCCGCCGCCCCAGGCCGCATTTTGCCTGGGCCCCCCGCTTTCGCTCCTTGCTCCTCGCTCGCCCTCCCGCCGCGCCCCCCGCCCCGCCTTGAGAGCTCTCCCAGCCCCTCCCGGACCTCTGGCTGGGCCTCCCGGCCCGCGGCCTGCCCGCCCTCGCCGGCGCCCGCGCTCCCCGCCCCTCTGCCGCCGAGCTCTGGCTGGCGCTACCTCCGCCCGCCTTTCTGGCCCCGCCCGCCGCTCCCTGCCCGCCTTCCTCTGGCGCGGCCTCCGCTTTGCCGCCCTTCGCCCGCCGCTCTCGAAGTCTGGCTCCCGCCGCCCCTGCCCGCCCAACATTTCCCCCCCCCCCCCCCTCTCAGCCGGCTCCTTCTTTCAGGCCAGCTTGAAGTGAGTCTGGCACGCGGCCTAATTTCAGCCTGCTTGCGTGTGTGTGTGTGTGTGTGTGTGTGTGTGTGTGTGTGTGTGTGTGTGTGTGTGTGTGTGTGTGTGTGTGTGTGTGTGTGTGTGTGTGTGTGTGCGTGCGTGCGTGCGTGCGTGCGTGCGTGCGTGCGTGCGTGCGTGCGTGCGTGCGTGCGTGCGTGCGTGCGTGCGTGCGTGCGTGCGTGCGTGCGTGCGTGCGTGCGTGCGTGCGTGCGTGCGTGCGTGCGTGCGTGCGTGCGTGTGTGTGTGTGTGTGTCTCTTTCTTCGTCCTTTTCCCCGTCTGCCCGAGGCCAGAGCCATCGCAGGTTCTTGCTTTCAGTGCCGTGCGGCCGGCATCGATCGGTAGAGTTCTGGCCACGCTGGCAGGACAGCCTGTGAAATAAGCTTGCTGTGATGCCACGTCTCGAATGCTTGCCCGTGCGATCGGGATAGCCCTCTCAAAGGGCAGTGGATTCCTTTTCCTGCTTCGCTTGGTTTTAAACATAAATGCGGAAATAAATATCGCGGTCGGCGTTTGGGGGCGGCATTCCCTGGCTTGCTCTACCCCCCAGAACAGCAGAACACAATGGTTTAATAAAGGTGTCCCATGTGGAATATACATATTCGCAGACTCTCTCCCCATTATCTCGTTCTCTCTTTCTCGCTCTCTCCTATCTCTCTCTCTCTCTCTCTCTTGCTCGCTCTCTCTGTCTATGTCTCTCTCTCTCTCTCGTTCTCTCTCTCTCTCTCTCGTTCTCTCTCTCTCTCTCTCTTTCTCCACTTTTCCCAACGTTTTCCTTCAGCATTCCAAGAGGATCCAAAGTTCCCAGAGGATCCCAATACGATTCCCAGAATATCCTTGGGCTCCACTGAGTCTCCAGGGTTATAGTGCGACCCCAGTAAGATGCCAATAAGGTCCCACTCAGGTTCCAATAATACCCCACGGGGTCAAAGTAGGATTCCAGTCGGATCCCTGGGCCCCAGTCGAATTACAAAACGACCTCAGTCGCATCCCCACAGGCTTCCAGTCCGATCCACTGAAGATCCCGGTCGGATGCAACTAGAATTTTGGAAAGGGGGCCGTCCTCTTCGTCGTCCTCCTCCTCGTCGCAGGCGTCGTCGTTGCAGTTTTCGTCGTCGTCATTTTTGTCGAAGGCGGGCGGCCCGCCCAGCACCCCCTACGTAATGTCAGCTTGTGATTATCAGATGCATATCCCCCCCTCCCCCCTTGGGGGCTAATGAATAGACCCCGCGGGGCGCGAACAATTTTTCAAGATCACGTGCACCAGGGGTCGTCGCGGGCACCGAGGGGATCGTGTACCCCCATTGTATGATAGCCTCAAGACGATTGCCTTTCGTATCGATGTTGTATAGGGGTCGTATACATCCGAGGCGAATTGTTTCACTCTTTCAGGCATCGTCGTCGTCGTCGTACGGCCATGTTGGCTCAAGTCAGCTGCAGTCCTGCTTCGCGACTTGCCTTCGATATGCGTGGCCTTCTCTCTCTCTCTCTCGACATTTTGCGATGGCTGACGCTGGTCCTGACCTGTCCAGTCCCCTGTCCAAACGTCGCCGAGTTCGTGAAAAGGAGCTGAAGCGCAGGCTGTGGAAGAGGACCTGTTGGCAGTACGTTGACGAGGACGCTGACAGCGACAAGAAGCTCATGGAGGACGAGACGAGGTTCGCGGAGAACTTGGCCGTTGGTTCACTGGAGCAGACCCCCCGGGAGGCCACCCTGAGGTGGGCTCGGGGGAAGGTTCTGATAGAGGAGGGGTTGAGGTTGCAGACGTGATGGTTCCGTTTTCTATCTTCGAGGATGCTGTTGAAAGCGTTAGCGCCGCTGCTGCTGAGCTCGCCGACTCAAGGACAGCTGCCAAGATGGAGGAAGTCACGGAGAGCACGAAAAAAAGCTTGGACGACGCGAGCGACGTTATCATAGCATATTGTGCATGGACGTTGATGAGCTGACGCAGTGCAAGAGGTCGAATGATCCGTTTGGTGCCCGGCATGTGGCATCCCAGAGGCAGCTGCACCAACAGGACGAACACATCTTTGAATTCTTCACGCTTCGCGTATCCCCACCAGCCCATCTCAAAACAGCAACTCGAGCGAAGCATGCCGACAGTCGTGTTTTTCAGGCGTGTTTCCGCCTGCCCCCGCATATCTCCCCTGTTCCTCCTTCCTCCCGCCTCCTTGTACATCCTCCTTGTGGTGGGAGCGGGAGAAGGACGAGGCGGAGGAGGAGGGAGAGAAAGCGCTCCTCGTGGTTTGAGTCGTTTGGGGTTTCTCGTCCTGGTGTGAGTCGTTCGGGCCCTTCTTCCTGGTGTGAGTCGTTCGGGCTCTTCGTGGTGTGAGTCGTTCGGGCTCTTCGTCCTGGTGTGAGTCGTTCGGGCTTCTCGTGGTGTGAGTTGTTCGGGCCCCTCGTCCTGGTGTGAGTCGTTCGGGCCCCTTCTCCTGCCCGTCCAGAAACGACGCCCAGGCGAGTAAAGAGTCATCCTGATGGGCATTTCGGCGTCTTGAGTGCCTCGGGAGGGCCTCTTTGGGCCGTTTGGGATCCTCTTGGGGGCCTCCTGGGGGCCTCTTGGGGCCATCTTGGGGCCCCTTGGTGCCTCCTGGGCGCTTCTTGGGGCCATCTTGGAGGAAATCGATCAAAGAAGAGGGGAGCTTTAATTAGCGCTGCCCCCTCAGAAGGCCAAAATGGGGCCAAAACCTTAGTAAAATCAATGAGTTTGGCTTGAAAGAAGAGGGGAGCTTTAATTAGCGCTGCCCCCTCAGAAGGCCAAAATGGGGCCAAAACCGTAGTACAATCAATGATTTTGGCTTCAAAGAAGAGGGTGCCATTTTTCTCCCCCCCCGTCGGGGCCAGAATCCTCGTGAGGGGTGTCGTTTTTTGCCCTCCCAGGAATCGAAAAAGACCCCTCCAACGACCCGCGGGACGCCCTCTCCAGGCCCAGGGGGAGGGGGAAGGGGGAGGGGTAAACCCCTTCCCCGAAGGGGAAGAAGGGGGGGTGAGAACAGAGAGAGCTCTCTAAACCACTCACGCCCAAAGGGCTGATGGGATTAGAATGTGAGATGTCTCGTTGCGTTGGCTTTGGCGAGTCCTTGAAGGATGGGTTGGCGGACGGCGAGGAGAGCGAGCCCCTGGACGATGAGATGGCCGATGGTGAAGAAGGCGGCTCCTGGTCGTGGAGAGGCGCGTTCAGCTCTACACGGGAGGACGGCGGTGAGAGCGATGACGGGCACCCACATGTTCCCTTGTACGGACGCTGCCGCATCTGTTGCACCATTGGCATTGCCATGTCGATCGGTGCCTTTCGCACACTCGCGATAAGCAGGCGGAGTGTCCAAATATCGTCATCATCGTCGTCGCAGTCGTCGTGAACTCGTCAAACTCCAGCTCCCGATGAACAATTTCAGCCTCCGCCAGGATATTATGGCTTCGTTCCGCTCCGAGGGCGTGGGCAAAGTGTTGGCAGGCGTCGCCCCACCAGGCTGGCTCGAGGAGGGACTGGGGACGTGGGTAGAGACACTCCAGCAGAAGTGAATGAGCGCCGCCCTGTTGTTTCCGTGCGCGGCCAATCTCTCCCGCCTAGCACTTCCAGTTGCACAGTCCGCTCAGGAGCGGAGGCCCGCAGACATCCGAAGTTCCTTTTTTTTCTTGAGGCCACCTTCTCGTGCTTGCTCAGAGCCAGCCAGTGTCAACACACAGCGCCGATTGTTTCGCGCACACCCGACTGCCAGCCAGTTTGAAGCTGACGTAGCCGTAGCCGAGCCAAGCAGGGCGCGCAACAAATGCCCCGATGAAGTATCAAATGCGGTGGCCGAGCTCGATCACGCAGTTCCTAGGCCCTCTTTGCATCAGCCGAGGTTGAGCACGCAGCAGGTTTGCCGCTCGCCGTATCCCCCTGCACCCGCGTGGCGCGCCCCAGAGAGGCGAGTAAGGGCAACCGTGCCCTGCGACGGGGATCTGTTCAACGCAGTTCGCTCGCATAAGGTCCACAGACTATTGCAATGTGGATTTGTGCTTCCCCCAGGGCCGATGGAAGAATCAAATAATCGTCGTCGTCGTCGCCGTCGTCGTCGTCATCGTCGTCGTCGACTCAACTGGGCCTACGCAGCACACACACACACACACCCACGCGGCATCCGCAGTGCGCCATCTTCGTCGTCGCCGTCGTCGGCTCCCCTTCCCCATCCGATGGAACCTTACTACTGTGCCGATTTCCGCGGATTGGGTGTTGTTTCCGACTCGGCTGCCGATTCCCGTCGGGCCGATACATTTCGATCGCCAATCGACTAATCGATTCGATTATGGGGTCTCCCGCTTCCCACCCTTTCATCTGGCGGGGCATCCATCCACAACGCGACGTCGTCGCTTCGCCATCCTTCATTGTTATCGACTGACCACGGCGGGCCCACGCAGCACCCCCCACCTTGTTTGGGCATCAGCAGCGGATCGTCGTAGTCGGCGTCGGCGTCGGCGTCGGCGTCGTCGTCGTCGTCGACAGCTACGGCGGGCCCAAGCTGGACCCACGCCCCCCACAGCATCCGCAGCGCGTCGTCGTTTGTCGTCGTCCGCCGATGACAACCCAACAAAGATCCCCTTTAGATGCGAACCCAAAGAAGCAGGAGAAAACACACACAGACGCAAATAAACGTCGATTCCCAAGGAAACATGTGAAACT